GAAAACAGAGCCAGCCTGCTAGAGGGGAACATTCACCCAGTGTCCAATTCACAGATCCCAGAGTCCACTTGACCTTGCAAAGACCATCAGGCCAGGCAAGTGCCCATAGCGCAGTACACAAAGGGTTAATTATGGGTGCCATTCTGAGCTGCCCTGCACTCCTGTATTTCTAACCCCCTTGAAATCTGAATTGGCAGTAAGCAAACACACCAAGGACATTTCCTGGATGGGAAAGGTCCCACCATGGAGTCTTCTCAGCAGGAAATCACACAACTGGCTTATCAGGTTGCCCGAGGAAGTCGGTGGCAGAACACAGGAGTTTGCCCAGAACTCAGAAAGTTCCCCTCCTACCTTGCAGTCTCAGGGAGGCCATCTCTGGGGAGACAGTGACTAGAACCAAGGAGACAATACCTGTTCATGCACAGGGAACCCCACCCTCACTTACAGACCCTTCCCCATGAGGCCGCTGGCAGAGGGTCCAAGGCCTCTGGTATGTGGTGATTCCTGCCTTTACTGCCCCCCTACCATGGTATGCAGGTTACCGCACAGCCCGTATATGACTGTATCACAAATCTCTGGTCTATGAGAACTGAGTTGGATGGGACAGCAGTCTAGGATCAGGGTGAAGAACTTCATGAGGCTTAAGACTTCTGCACCAAGGGGTAAAGTAAGACTCTTCAGAGCTATGGTCCCTAAATTCTGCTCTGGCTGATGGGAGCAGGACACGGGATTTCTTAGCTCTCTAGGGAGACACCACCAGACAGAAGGCTAGAAGCCTTTAATGATCCTCTCTGACTCAGTGCCCTGAGAGCAGGGAAGCCAGCCTCCAGAAGGAGGGGAGATCTGTAGCCAGCGCTGGGAGACCAGAAGCCCCTGCACATCACTACTACCGCCTATGGGTCCCCAAGCCTGGAGACTTGTCATGCCCAGGGTAACAGATCCATGAGGAAAGTCACCTGTGATGAGGGAGGAGAGAGAGAGAGGAGAGAGCACACGCGATCAAATTAATCCTAATGACATCGATAAGAAGATTTGGAAGCACAGCCAATGACTCCATTAAGTAATGACTCTGGGTCTCTTCTGTCATCGCCTAGGGTCCTCTCCCTCTCCCTTGCCCTAGATCTCAAAAGAGTGCTGGCAATGAGTGTGGTGCTGGGAGACAGGAAGGACAACTGGGATGGAGATCGATACTACAGAGAAGGGAGACCGTCTTTCTGTCCACTAATTCTTGATAATCAGTGGTCAGTCCCCTTGGTTGGCAGCAAGGGGGAGGGAAATGAATCCCATGATGACTACGGGAGCAAAAGACACGGATGGAGGAGGCTGGCCTGGAGCTTCCAGCACACCCCTCCCTTGGCCAGGGGTCCAGAAGCACACTGTGGTGAACACAAGCCCAGTATGCTCCATCTACATGCACCACCATGGTGATGGTGTCCTCTGGATTTGTGCAGAGTGACAGCCTGGGTAAACATCTACATGGGCAGCTTCACGAAACAGTTCAGGATAATGAGAAAGACAACCAGCCCAATTTACCCAGATCCCCTAGAAATAAGCCTACAATCTCTTTTTTGTTTGCCTGTAATTTCTTATCTATATGAAATTCATATAACAAAATTAACCATTTTAAGGTGAACAATTGGGGAGAGCTGGAGGGGGGAAGGGATAAATTGAGAGCTTGGGACTGACATATACACATATATTTATAATAGATAACCAACAAAGACCTGCTGTATAGCACAGGGAACTCTGTTCAATATTCTGTAATAACTTAAATGGGAAAAGAATTGGAAAAAGAATAGATACATGTTTATGTGTAACTGAATTACTTTGCTGTACCCTGGAACTAACACAACATTGTTAACCAACCACACCTCAATATAAAATAAAAATCAAGAAAATAAAAAACGCCACACACACGCAAAGTAAAGTGAACAGTTTAGTACCTTCACAGTGTCAGGCAACCACTACCTCTGTCCAATTCCAAAACATTTCCATAACTCCCAAAGGAAACCCCATATACATCCTCCCTCCTCCCAATCCCTGGCACCCACTGACATGCTTTCTATCTCTATAGATTCACTCTTCCGGGCATTTCATAGGAATGGAACCATATATGACTTTTGTGACTGGTTTCTTTCTTTCTCTTAATTTTTGGCTGTGCTGGGTCTTCACTGCCGTGCCCAGACTTTCTCTAGTTTCAGCGAATGGGGGCTACTCTCTAGTTGTGGTGCATGGCCTTCTCACTGCAGTGGTTTCTCTCGTTATGGAGCACAGTCTCTAGAGCCTGCGGGCTTTGGTAGTTGTGGTACACAGACCTAGCTGCATGCAGTATCTTCCTAGACCAGGAATCGAACCCATGTCCCCTGCACTGGCAGGCAAATTATTAACCACTGGATGACCAGGGAAGTCCTGATTTCTTCCATTTAGCATGTTTTTGAGGTTTATCACATTGTAGCAGGTATCACAACTTGATTCTTTTTTATGGCTGAATACTATTCCATTGTATAGACATACTACCATTTGCTTATCCATTTATCTGTTGAGGAACATTTGGGCTAAACCCACAGTTCTGGTTGGATCCAGAGCTCTCAAAGCCACCTTCCCTTTGAACTAGCACACCAATCCTTGCTTCCTGGCTCTGAATCTGCCTCCCTGGTAGGCCTGTCTAGTTCCCATGCTACTCTAGCACAGCCCTCCCACTGCATGTTTGTACAGCCAAAAGTCAACTGTCCTCGCCAAGGACAGTTCCTCTTTAGCAGGTGTTCAAGCTGTCTTCAGCTGAGAAAGGTGAAGATGCTTTAACCTGAGCCCTCACACTGGACCTCCAGGAGACAGAATAGGGTGTAAGCAGAACTTCTGTCTTCAATCTGGTCTCAATTTTGCAATCCCAATACCTTGATCAAGGAGAACTTGGACAAAATTATTATTTAGCTTAAACTATTGTATTAGTTTGAACTACTGAATTAAATGTTTGCTTCTTGGGAAAAAAGCTATGACAAACCCAGAAAGTGTATTTAAAAGCAGAGACATCACTTTGCCAACAAAAGTCCATATAATTAAAGCTATAGTTTTTCCAGTAGTCATGTATAGATGTGAGAGTTGGACCATCAAGAAGGCCAAGCACCAAAGAATTGATGCTTCTGAACTGTGGTGCTGGAGGAGACTCCTGAGACTCCCTTGGGCTGCAAGGAGATCAAAACAGCCAATTCTAAAGGAAATCAATCCTGAATATTCATTGGAAGGATGGATGCTGAAGTTGAAGTTCCAATACTCTGGCCACCTGATGGGAAGAGCCAACTCACTGGAAAAGACACCGATGCTGGGAAAGAGTGAGGGCAAGAGGAGAAGAGGGTGACAGAGGATGAGATGGTTGGATGGCATCACTGACTCGATAGCCATGAGTTTGAGTAAACTCTGAGAAAATGAAGGACAGGGAGGGAAGACAGGTTCATGGGGCCGCAAAGAGTTGGACATGACTTAGCGATTGAACAGCAACAACTATACTTGGTGCATTTGTTGCACCTGGGCAGATAGATAAATGTGCATACATTCTGATTCTCTTAACCCCCCAGTGAGCCAGGCACATCCCAGAAGGCCATGTCATGGGCCAGGATTCACGTTCACCTAATACCTCCTCACTGGTTACTGCTTCATGACAGGTACCAGCACTTACCCAGGGATATGGAGAAATCAGTGAGACACAGCCTGAGGCACTCAGGGCCTGGAAAAAGAGACAGACAGGTGCAGGAACAGAGTAAAACAGGGAAGACAGACCCTGAGTCCTACAGAGGCCCGGGAACGCAGAGGAGGGGAGCTGTCTTCCGGCAGAGCTGGGCAGGGCAGGGTTCTCAGAAGATGTGACATCAAGATTGAAGGAGGGTGAGTGGTGTTTGCGCAGGAGGAGAAGGGCTTTTTTCTGAGGGTGCTGCAGGAGCAAGAGCGGGAAGAGGGTGTGGTCCTCCACTCCCCTACCCCCATCCCAATGCGGAAGCTGGGGCTCAGAGCAGGTGTGATAGATGGGCTAAAAAGGCACTTGGGGCATCAGGTTAAGGCATCTGTCCTAAAGTATCTACAGGTTTGTGACTGGAGGAGGAGGGGTCAGAAGGGGCAAAGCCTGGAGGTGGAAGGCTGTGGCAGTGGCCCCCAATCAAACCCAGGATGCTGACGCAGCAGCACCTGCAGTGTCTGCACAAAGCCGGCTGAGGGCAGTAATCTTGCTGAAAGGTGGGGAGCAGGCCCCGAAGGATTAACGTGGCAATTTATGCAAGATTAAAGAAAACCAGTGAGGGGCTTCCTGATTGAGAATCTGCCTTGCAATGCAGGGGACATAGGTTCGACCCCTGGTCTGGGAGGATCTGGAGGGCAACCAAGCCTGTGCTCCATAACTACTGAGCCACATCCTAGAGCCCGTGCTCCACAACGAAAGGAGCCACTGCAACCAGAAGCCCACGCACCGCAACTAGAGAGAGCCCACATGCAGCCACAAAAACCCAGCGCAGCCAAATTTATTATGATTTTTTTTAGTTTTAAAAAAGAAATGAAAACCAGTGGGGAGTTGATGGAGACTGGGAGGCTAGAACCCTCCACCCACCCCATCATACCATCTGAATTAGCACCACACCGTCTGAATGTGGGCTTCCCTAGTAGCTCAGCGGTAAGGAATCCACCTGCAGTGCAGGAGCCAAAGGAGACACGGGTTTGATCCCTGGGTCGGGAAGATCCCCTGGAGAAGGGCAACCCACTCCAGTATTCTTGCCTGGAGAATCCCCATGAACAGAAGAGCCTGGCAGGCTACAGTCCATAGGGTTGCAAAGATTCGGACACGACTGAAGTGACTTAGCAAGCACGCACGTCTGAATTTAGGCTGCCATAGAAGGTGCAGAAAGAAGGGACTATGACAGGAAGACCTATCAGAAGAGCACGGCAGGGTGTTCAAAAATAAACTGTTAGGGGTCTTTTCCCTGGCAGTCTAGCAGTTAGGACTCTGTACTTACACTGCATGGGGCATGGGTTCAATCCCTGGTCAGGGAACTAAGATCTGTATGAAATGCAAAGAAGCAAAGAAAAAGAAAAAAGAAAAATCAAGTAAGTAAACTGTTGGACACCTTTAGTACCCAGTTTGAAAATTATCAAAAGAACAGTTTCCCACGAAATCCAGACCTGCGAGGGAGCACGGCCCTGTTTGACTTCCCTCTTCGTTGCCCTTCTGAGTTTGAGGAGAACCTCCCAACTCAAAACCCAGAGGAGAAGGTGTCCACAGCCCCCGGCTGGAACCCCCCACACCCTCCAGGTCCCGCGCTGCCTGGTCCATCTCTTCCCAGATGGAACAGCTGAACTGCTCGGACAGGGTCCAGTGACATCTCCACCTCCTCCCTGTGCTGCCACTTGTCAGCACCAAGCAAGAGAGATGCCAGCCTCATCCCCAGCCTGAAAGCCCATTCAGGGTGCTAGAAGATGAATTATGTTTCATTTATATCAAAGAAGCAATCTCGGAGCCCATTTGTGATCAAATTTGCTGTCAGAGAAACTTTGCTTTATCTCATTACATCTGATATCTCTTGGCTTCTTGTCCTTGAGACTATTAAAGTTTAATGTCAAATTCAAGATGAAATGAAATCTTTGCTGTATCATCTCATCAGGACCTGAACATTCCCCCTTCCATCTAAAAATTTTTGACAACTAATTACAATGGTGGCTGGGGTCGGGGAGGGGGGGGAGAGGGAAAGAGAAAGACCTGCTTCCCGCCCATTTGTTGAAAATACCATCATTTGAAGGGGTAGCGGTGAGCACAGGGACCACGTGGGGGTGGAGGACAAGGAGAGATGCCCCTCGCCGAGCAACTCCCCTTGTGGCCCCTTCTTCCCAAACTAACCATCTCTGGGACTAATGACGTCTGCTTTTCATCCCTGTTCAGACAAGGCATTCCTGCCCGGGGCACACATCTGGGCGGAGAAGGAAGGGCACTGGCTGGAAGGGGAGTGAGTACCCGATTCCAGGCTCCATCAGCTGCATGGCCATGGGCAAGTCACCCCTTCTCCAGGTCTCACTTCCCTCAGCTGTAAAATGATGGGGTAGGACTTGAAGCATGTGATTCCATCTAGGGACCAAGAGCGAAAGTTCGTGACTGTTAAACCGTAGCATAAGGGACCGTGATAGAGATGAGCGCATTCCCACCAACAGGCATTCAACTTAAAAACAATTTAACAAACACCAGAAAATCATGTCTGTGGGGCTTATTTATCATGACAACTCCGAGACAAGTTGATTTCTGGGGCTTTTGATCACCTCTAACTGGGAAAAGTACCCAAAGAAAATGAGCTTTGGGTGGGGAATATGCTTTCCCCAGACTAGAGCTGGTATCTTAATTAATAACACTGATTAAAATCCAGGGCTGTGCAATGCAGGGCTGTCAGAATCTCAGGAGCACACAGGTCAGAACTCCTAAAAAACAACGTGCTTTAAAAAAAATAAAGGAAGGTTTACAAAAAATAATGCACTTGTAAAACAAAAATAATGAAAAAAATATGACAAAGAATATGTATAACTGAATCACTTTGCTATACACCAGAAACTAAGACATTTTTTTCCTAACACAACATTTTAAATCAACTAAACTTCAATTAAAAATTTTATTAAATGCATTAATGTATTACAATGTATTAACAAGTTCATTTATTCAACAAACATTAAGCAGCTCTGATGCACACTTCTGCTATTCTAGGTACTAGGGATTCAGCAGTTAATAAAAAAGACAAAAATTCTTCACCCCCCAGAGCCTAGACACTGGTGGAAAGAGGACAAACAATAAATATGATAAGTAATTAATTCATTTGTACTAATCTTTGCATTCTTAAAGTGGGCATAGTCAAGGAGTGCTGAGGCTGCTAGGAAATGAGGATGGCTCAAACCCTGGCTCTACCACTAACTATCTGTGCAACTTTGGTCAATTTGCTTCTCTCTCTGGGCCTTTATTTCCTCACCATCAAACGGGGCCATTATGGTACCTGCCTCTAGAGTTAAGTGAGTGGGTTTGTGTGACATGACCATATCTATTACATCATAATCATGTTTCTCTGGGAAAGCTTCTTGGAGAAGTTGAGGTTTGACCAGCAGGCTCCAGGTCCCAATGCCCAGAGGAGTGCAGCTGGGAGGAGGCAGGGCCCACAACTCAGAAGAAGGTCCAACTGTCATCCAAATAGCTACCATGCAGGAAGAAGTCAGGCATCACCTTCATGCACCCAGCCAAACAAGGATGCTTCCTTCTCCAGAAATGATTTCCCTCACCCAACTTTCTCTTTTATTCACGCATCCTTTCCTTGGCCTAACCATCTTCAGGGGAAGTTCTTCTTGATATTCAGCCTGTATCATTTCTATAGCAACAAAATGCCAGGCTTCTCCTATTCTCTTCAGAGGAATCTGAGAAAAACTTAAAGCCCAGTCTGTATTTAAGTCTCCAAAAGTTTGAAGGCAACGTTTATTCCTTAGCCCTTTTATTCTCTGGGGGGTGGCAGGGGAGACTTAAAATCCAAAACATGTATAGATGCTTTCTTTGAAATCAGAATATCTGGGTGCAAGAGTCAACATTCATCTTTACAACAGCTCTATAACGTAGGCACCATGAGACAGGCGAGAAATTACCAGGCACTTTAAATGACTACCCAAGGCAGCCCAGCTAGTAGGTGACAGAGCAGGGACATAAACTGCATCCATTGGCTTCAAATGGAATAATCTAACCACATTGTATTGACTCATCATTAGTGAGTGACATACACCAGAACAAGGTGTGACATAAGCCAGGGAGACTGAGTCTTTTTAACAAACACTCCAGAGCTTAGGCATCCAAGTTAATGCTGTCCTTTGCAAGCTGATACTTTGGGAGTCTCTGCATTTATTTCAGCAATGTTACCACTCACTGTGTTTTGGTTTAAGTTTGGGTTTTTTCCTTTTTTTTTTTTTTTTTTTTTGCTGTTTTTGTATTCCTTGCTTTCATTGTTGTGAGTCTGCTCCAAGATAGTAAATCTTTAATGCTTTGAGGGTAGATTCGATTTCTGGAAAAAAATCAAACTTATTTGGAGCCAAATCTTGCCAAAACGGTAGACAAGTCATTTATATTAAATTTTAAAAAACAACTAGGTGCCTGGGGCTCAATAAATATTTGTTGACTAACAATGACAACAAAATGAAAATTAAATACACGTTGTTTGAGTCTAAAGAAAAGAGACTAGTTTTATTCTTTGACTCATAAAATTTCTCTGAGAGTAATTCCAGAAAAGAAATTCCCAAAATATTTTGAATACTGGTAGTGTCATTAGAATAAAAGCAGTATATCAAGGAGGACAAGCTATGGTTACAGAAGCTCTAGATTTCAAATTGACAGACATTTAAGGAATCCCAAATACTTGCTGGACAAGACCTAGACTCTTCTGTGTTCTGCCCCTCAAAATCTGACGTGGGAGTGGGGTATGGTAACAACAAATGACTCTCCAGACACCAACTGGGTGTCCTACAATTCAACTCACATCTGACACCACCTACCCAGAGACAGCATCAGAATCCACAGGTTAAGGGCTCCATCCCACAAGACTGCTCCCCCACCCCACCCCACCCACAGATGTGTGCGCACACGCACACACGCGCGCACACACACACACAAACTCCCCAGTTGAGAAGCCAGTTGAAAGTCCAGGTTGCACTCGTGCTTCTGACTGACAGGCTATAAATCAGTTTGCCACCGCCTCCTCCTTGAGTCTGATTAGTTCGCTAAAGTGGCTCACAGAGCACAGAGTACATTTGACTTACTAGATTACCAGTTTATTATAAATGGGTACAAGTCAGGAACAGCCTGCTAGAAGAGACAGATACACAGGGCAAGCTATGGCAAAGGGCACAGAGCATCCACGCCCTCTCCTGCCAAGACATTCCCCAAATTGCCACATTTTCATCAACCTGGAAGTCCAAACCCCATCCTTCTGGGTTTTTACAGAGGCTTTATTACATGGGCATGATTGATTAATTTATTGGTCATTGGCAGTTGATTCAACCTCCAGCCCCTTTTTCCCACAGGAGGCGGGGGTGGAGAACTGAAAGTTCCAATCCTCTAACCACAGGTTGGTTCCTCTGGCAACCAGCCCCTATCCTAGGAGGACCTAGGGGCATTCTAAACACTATTAACATAATATAACACTATTAACATAACAAAAGATGCCTACACCACTGTTTCTAATCCATAGTTCCAACTGTGTGCCTAGTCCTGTCTGACTCTGTAACTCATGGACTGTAGCCAGCCAGGCTTTTCCGTCCATGGGATTTTCCAGGCGAGAATCCTGGAGTGGGTTGCCATTTCCTACTTCAGAGAATCTCCCCAATGCAGGGATCGAATCCATGTCTCTTGAGTATCACCTGCATTAGCAGGAGGATACTTTACCACTAGAACCACCACTAGGAAATTCCTAGGGTTTTAGGAGTTCTGTGCTAGTAACAGGCATGAAGACCAAATATATATTTGTTACTACAAATCACTGTGTGTAGCTAAACAAAAACAAAAATTGCAAAATTCTTCCAATCTCCGGTGAGAAGGGACACAGGGAGGATGTCTATAAAAAGCACTAAACATCCATGATACAGAGCAGACCATAAGGATTGTAACTAAGATACAAAGTCAACCATAAGGATTGGGTGAGGTATCTTGGGCAGGAGTGGAGCCTTCTGACTGGACGGCCTGGGAGGAGGAAACTGCATTGAGCCAGCTTTTATTTTTTATTTATTTTTTTTTTTTTTTTATTTTTTTTATGAGCCAGCTTTTAAAGAAAGCTTCCCAGCCTTTTCACCCTGTGGCACAAACAGAAAATGGGATCAGCTGGCTGGCTCGTTGGGACAAATGGGTAAGGCTGCCCTTGGATGGGAGCACAGGCCAGGAAGGATTCCAGTGGCCCCAGCCCCATCTGGCTGCAACGCAGGGCTAAGGGGAATTAGCATCTCACTACACACCACTTGGGAAGCCCTGCCTTGGAGGAAGAGCAACCTCAGCAGGTGGGTGGGAGAAGGAAAACTGCAAGCTCACAGGCACAGGGCAGACAGGTCTGAGTGTCCGGCGTATTCTGACAACATGCTAATATCCTGTTTGGTAGGAACCCAAGGGGCAATCAGGGCGTTGTGACTGAGAAGGCAGGCTGAGGCCAGGGATGTGGGAGCCTTGAGTGGCATGTTACAGCATAAGGAATTGATTCCGCAGTCAACTAAGTGCCTTTCAGAGTTACCCATATGGAGCTGAACCGTGTGTTTGGGTGGGTGGGGGGGGCGCGGAATCCTCACATTTCTAATGGTTTATTTAAAAACAGTCATAAATAACAACTTTAAACAAACAGACATATCCCCAAAGCTAGGTTTCAGGCCTCTCTCCTGCTTCGAGCTTAGCAGGGTGCCCTGCTTTCAGAAAAAGGCCCAGGTGATTCAGAAATAAGATGAAAACCTCCAATCCCCACTGTTTTTTTTTTTAATGCTGTGAAGCTAAAAAGTAAACACCAATGTTTCCTCGGGAGCTCGGGGCCCCCAGGAACTAAAAGCAGGCAGGCTCCTGTATGTATTTTTCTGTTCATCCCATTAAAAGTCTGAGTCGCCATTGCTGTTGTCCACCCCAACTGAAATGAGAAAAAATACGCACACGACTTGTGAGCAACCGAACACCCGGCCGTGTTGGAGACGGCAGAGAATGGAAACGCGGCGTGGAGAGCCCTTCAAGATGGCTGCCGGTGTTGCTATGGAAATTTAATTCCCCGCTAGAAGCAAATCATTCAAAAGGCCAAGAATGGCCATGTTAGGTCAAGAACGAACATGAACTGGGGGAAAAGATTGCTTTTCGAGAGAACCAGATAATTAATTTAGCCGAGGAGCCACCCTACGAAGAGAAAATTACAGATACCTCATGTGCGGGATCTTTATTCTGTTGAAAGTTCGGTTTTTGAAAAAGCTCCTACAAGGGATATGGTGCAGAGGAGTGTTCTCCATTTGAGTAGAGCAGTTTACATGGCAGCCAGAGGGATGGAGGTGAGGGGTCAGCAGGAACTTCCCCGGCAGAAGAGCTGTTAAGACACTAATCCGTGTTCCTGAGGAGAGTCAAGAATCTGTTTCTCTAGGAATTCTAAAGAAAAGTGAAATTAGGTACATGTCCCAGGTGGAGCAGGTTAATGCCTGCCAACGTTTTTCAGTTTGAAACCTTTGGAAGAGTCTGAACACCATTTGCTTCGGTCTAACTCAAGCTTAGAGACCCATGGTCTCCCCCTCCCCCCAGTCTCATAGGTGCGTGCACATAAAACTACTGTAAGCCACATAAGCTGACCCACGAATAGATGTGAAACAGGAGGGAAGGGGGCAGGACACAAACTTTAAAGAATGACATGGCCAGAGCACATGACAAAACCCAGTTAAAATCAAGACAGTGAAAGATTCAGCTTCTGACAGACCTTGAGCCTCATCATACACTCATAATACATGAGCATGATGCTAAATGACACACCCACCCATGACAGTTCCAAGGCCAGTAAGTGGGCGGTAGCCCAATTCCTGGAAATCCCCATCCCTTCCCCTAAATAATTAGAATAACACTCCCACTCATTAGCCTATGAAATTACACAGCCCATAAAAACTAGCCACATGATATTTCCAGGCTCTCTCTCGTTCACCTACTGAGATGGCCCACACTCTGTGGAGTGCGTTTCTCCCCAAATAAACCCACTTCTTACCTATCACTTCATCTCCAAATTCACAACAAAGCAAGAACTTACATTCACCGGGAACAGATGTCGCAGCCTAAGCAATCCACAGACCATGTATGGAAGTCATCCTCAGACCCAGGCACTCTCTTCTGTTTTTCTCTTCTGTGTTTGCTCTCACCTCTGCTCATCACTCTCCAGCCCACTGTCCAAAACTTTATTAAGGAAACTGACGGTTCAATCTGCAAATATTAATTGGATTGGGTTTGAGGCACTGTGTAAGGCTCCGTGGGTAACAGTGAAGAGGTAACGACTGTATTCTTGCCATCAGAGAATTTGTCTGAGGGCTTCCCTGGTGGCTCAGACGGTAAAGAATCCACCTGCCAATGCAGGAGGATACAGGTTTGACCTTTGATCCAGGAAGACCCCACATGCTGCAGTAAGCCCGTGCACCACAACTACTGAGCCCTCACGCTGCAAGTACTGAAGCCCACACGCCCCAAAGCCTGTGCTCCGCAGCAAGAGAAGCCACGGCAGTGAGAAGCCTGCGCGCCACAGCCAGAGAATAGCCCTGCTTGCAGCAACTGGAAAAAAGCCTGTGAAGCAACGGAGACCCAGCACAGACAAATAAATAAATAAAATTTAAAAAAAAAAAAACTTATCTGAAAAGAAGCTGGAATGTGAACATACAAAAACATAATGGGTCAGTTTGAGAGGGTAGCTGAGAAAATGTAAGCACATCAAGGGTTCTGTTGAAGGAGAGCTTTTTCCTTGCTGGGCTGGTCAGAGAAGGCAGGAAGAGCCTTCAGTTGTGGTTAAAAAATAACATGAATTTTACCACAGTAACCATTTTTCAGTGTACAGTTCAGTAGTAAGTTTTTTTACTTTAGTGTGCAACAGACCCCTGGAACAATTCATCTCACAAAACTATAAAACTCTATATGCATTAATAACTGTATATGCAGATGATTCAGATTAATAACTCTATATGCAAAAATAACTGTTTTTCCCCTCACCTCCAAGCCACTGGCCACCACCATTCTACTTTGTTCCTATGAATTTAACTATGTTAGATACCTCACATAACTGGAATTACACAGTATTTGTCTTCTTGTGACTAGCTTATGTCACTTTACAAAATGTTAGTAAAGTTCATCCATGTTGTATCATGTATCAGAATTTTCCTTTTTAAGGCTGAATAAAATTTAATTGTAGGTTTATAACACATTTTGCTTATCTATTCTTCCATCTGTTGCAGGAAGGGGGGCCCCTTCAGGAGCCTAAGAATGGGCTCTTGTCTAACACTTGGGAATGAATTGTCTGATGAGACACACATGCTGACAAAGCAAGAGATTTTATTGAGAAGGGGCACCCAGGTAGAGAGCTGCAGGGTAAGGGAATCAAGGAGAAGTGCTCTGCCACACGGCTTGACTTCTTGGGTTTTACAGTGATGGGGTTATTAGTCTCTGGGTTGCCTCCAGCCAATCATTCTGACTTGGAGATCCCTCTGGGTGGTGCATGCATCACTGAGATGCTTTTCAGTGAGTAGGATTCGAGAGGTTGGTAGGACACGTGGACTGGCATCTCCTCTCTCCTTTTGCTCTTTCCTGGATTTTCTGGTTGGTAGTAGCTTGTTAATAGTTCCACATTCCGTACCAGGTCCTCCTGTTTAAGATAACTCATGCAAGTGCTTACCATCCAGTCTGACTGAGGTGGTCAGCTAGTGGTTCCCCTAACCCAGCAGTGGATATGAGTTGCTTCCCTCATGGACACTGTGAACAATCTTGCTATGAATGTGGGTGTGCCAATATGTCTTTGAGATCCAGCTTTCAATTCTTTTAAATGTATACCCAGAAGTGGAAAAGCGGAATTGCTGGATCATATGGTAGTTTTATGTTAACTTATTTTGGGAAATCACCATAGTATTTTTCATAGTGACTGGACTGCTGTAAAATCTAAAAGTACACAAGGGTTCCAATTTCTCTACGTTCACCTCAACACTTTTTTATTTTTGACAGTGGCTATCTGCGTGTGAGGTAATATCTCATTTGGCTTTTGTGTGTATTTCTCTGATTAGTTATGTTGAGCATCTTTTCATGTGCTTGCCGGCCATCTCTATATCATCAATGCAAGTCCTTTTCCCACACCTCTGCAGCAGACCCTCAAACACTCACAGGCAGGTCTGGCTCAGTCTCCTGTGGGGTCACAGCTTCTGTCCCCTGGGTCCTGGTATGCACAAGCTTTTGTTTGTGCCCCCCAAGTGTCTCTGGTGGGTATGGGTTTTGATTTTAATATGATTGCACCCCTCCTATCACCTTGTTGTGACTTCTCCTTTGTCCTTGGACATGGTATCTTTTTTTGGTGGGTTTCAACATCCTCTTGTCAATGGTTGTTCAGCAACTAGTTGCAATTTTGATGTTCTCACAGGAGAAGATGAGCTCACAGCCTTCTACCCCGCCATCTTGAATCGGTTTGGGGTTATGCATGGGTGGTTGTTATTAAAGGAAGAACATCTTGAGCAGAGTTTGAAGAGGAAAAAAAGTCCAGACAGGTAGAAGGGAGACAGGCTTTGCCAATTCAGGATGCATTACAGAAGGAGAGTCAGTGGGCTGTGCTGAGTTAGATGGACAATGCGTGTGGGCAGGATCTCCAAACCAAGATCCTGTAACCCTTTGTTCAACATTTGGAGAGGTGGCAGGCCCCAGATGCACACCCTACTTAGCTCAACTGAAGTTCTGCAGTTAAACAAGACTGGGTCCCTTGTTACCACCATCTCTCAGGCACATGATGGGGCAGAAAGGACTCCGGGCTCCATCCTCACGCCAAGTGACTGAGTGTGCGGCCCTTTCCATTTCTAGCCTTATTTTGAGCTTCCAAGTGACTGGCACCTCGGCCCACTCCCTGCCCCCCACTTGCCTGCTGTGTCCAAGGCAAGAACCCAGGCAGGAAGAAAGCTGATGCTGGGAAGGGATCTCAGGTGAGGTTACAGGATCAGCCTGGCACACTCTGGTGACCGAGAGACACTGCAGGTTGCACACTGCCCTGCCTCTCGGGCCACCCCTCCAGCCAATGGATTTTAAGGTCCTCTGTCTTCACTGGGAGTGGGGGAGAAGCTGGATCTGTCAGTGCTGAGATCCCCACCACCACCCTCCCGGGGTTCCCAAACACCTGGCTACACTTTCTGTGTAGCATTTGCTGCATGGGGAAATGCTCCCCACACACTATGATGAAGCAGGCGACAAAAAGAAAAGTATTACTGCACGAGATTCCCATTGAAAGACAGAGATAAAGAGCAGAGAGAAAGGCAAGGCCTGCGAGGTGACACACCTCCCATATTAATAGTGGCTGCTTCCGGCTAGTGGAATATGGATGAATTTTTTTTCTTTGTGCTTTGCTGTATTTTCCAAGTTTTTGACAATGAATATGTATTCCTTTTGTAATCAGAGGAAAGGACAGCACATGGTAATTTTTAAAAGCCTTTGTTGGGCTTCATGCCCACTTGGGCTTGGTGCTGTTACAGATTCCACACAAAACTGTCAAGTCCTTGACCCCTAGTTGGGCTTCCCAGGAGGTGCAGTGGTAAAAAACTCACCTGCCAATGCAGGAGGCATAAAAGATCGATCCCTGGGTCAGGAAGATCCCCTGGAGGAGGGCATGGCAACCCACTCCAGTATTCTTGCCTGGAGAATCCCATGAACAGAAAAGGCTGGAGGGCTACAGTCCACAGGCTCGCAGAGTCGGACACGACTGAGTGACTAACACATTTCTGACCACCCTGCCCCAAGCTCCTCAATCCAATCTGCCCAAGAGGCCAAAGACATTCGCGGAGAGCCACAAAACAGCCCTTGACACCAGACCAGTCAGGGAAGAAAAGGTTGACCCGGACACAGGACAAAACATGATGGATCCATAAAGGGAGGTAGGTTTCTCTGGAAACTGGGGTCACCTTCACTCAGATCAACCCAGAGTGCCTTCCTGGAGGAAGGAACAACGAGAAGGGCTCTTTCAGAAGCTAGAAGGAGATGGCCTTGCAGATGAGACCAAAGAAAACCAGGGATGCCCGGATCTCCGCAGCTCAGGGAAATCACCACACTTTCAAGTACCAACTCTTTCTGGATGGAAATGGGCTCGGTAAGGAAACTGGAATGAGCTCAGCCAGACGGAGAGGAGACTGAAAGACAGTATCTTGATTTCAGTCACTGGTGCAAAAACGCGGCAAGTCTCTGGATTCTAATACCAGCCATTTCCCTTCCTCCCCCATGGGTCCTAAAGATAGCCCAGAGTGAGAAAGGAACCCGGGAGACAGCAGCAGACAGGGTGGAAATAAAAGTTATCCCTCTGTGCTCTGCCTTAGAATAGGCTGGGCTGTGGCCTGCTTTCTTGTCTGAGATATGAAAGCTATAACTCCTATCCTTGGTGTTTGCAGAGCACCGCACCACCCCCAGAGCTTTGGCACAATACCTCTTGCGAAACGGGAGGAGAAACTGAGGCTCAGAGGAACAGATGACACGTGCGATGCAGCGCAGGGCTCCAGACTCTGGAATCAGGCTTCCCACCCCTCCACCCATCAACAGGAAGGGCTCTCCTGTGATCTGGGAGCTGCTGAGAGACCAGACCCCCTCTCAGCCTGCTCTCCCCACAGAGCACCAGCGCCTCCACGTTGCCCATCTTATCACGTCAAACTTGGCCACAGCCATTCCTTATCATCGGAAGGACATCATTCCTGGGGTCTCAAGCAGGAAATCCGTGGCTAGGGTCCTGTTGTCCACAAGCCCTGA